CCGTGGCGGCGTGCAGAGCGAACCGCCGCACGTCCCGATGATGCCAGCGCCCCGCGGCGCTCCGGCGGCCATTTTGGAAGCGGGTGGGGCGGCCATGTTAGGAGCGGGCAGGGAGCCTGAGGGAGGTGTGAGGCAGGCTTTCCCTCTCCTTAAGGCCCGAGAAAGAGCCGTCCCCTCAAAAACCGTGTCTCACGAGTGTCCTTGGCGTGCGGCTCCATGAGCCCCGGGGAAGGGTGAGGACAGCCCTGTAAGCACAACACCCCACAGCGTGCCCCACCATGCTGCTGTGCGCCCTGAGGCACGAGGTGGCTGGAGGGGCCTGGCAGAGCGTAGCTGCTCTACAGAGCCATCCTGTCACCTTTGGACGGGGCAGAGTGGTTTAGAAGTGCCAGACCAGTTTAGAAGGAGCTCCTGGACCTATCCTGCATCCCTCCTGTGGCTGCACGCCTCAGAAAGCTGACTGCAAGAAAGACAAAATACCTCAAACGCTGCAAACATGAATGTTTCAGTATCACTGCGCATTTAACTCTCAGGCCTCAAAATCTGTGTTTCATGCAACAGGGGAGATGAAACCAGTTAAAAAGGTGCAGAGAGAATTAACTCTTCGTCAAGACAGCGGATAACAAAAATGGCCCTGCGGGAGCAGGTTGAATGGGTATTGATTGTGCAAGACTCTGGGAACTGGGACCTGGGTTTCAGCCATGAAGATGGATGGCAAAGCATGTAATTGAAGTTTCTGGAATAGTCAGGACGTGTCAAATAATGATAACCTAAATCGGGTACCTGAGCGATACGCAGGATTACAGGAGGTAGTTTCTGAAGAGGAGCATAAATAGGTTTAAGAGACTGCAAGCTCTGTTATGGCTACAATAAATCTGAGCCAGGGACAGCCTTAAGAAGGTATCAGAAAGATGCTGGGTTTCGTCTGGAAAAGACGTGAGTGGAGCAGAGATCAATCCCAGTTGCCAGTACAGAAAGGGCTGTTGAATTTCTGTTTGGAGATATTACATAGAAAAGCCATTGCTGAAATATTCTGTAAATTCTGTAACAGTATTTTGTGACAGTATTCTGCAGATTATGTGCATTTAAAATTCAGTATTTGATTTTTCCTGAATGCCTAATGTTTAATCCCACTTTTCACACTGGGTTATTTATTAACATTTGGTAAACAAAGCATTAGCTATTTATGCATATCGTTCAGATTGGAACATTACCTTTTTGCAAAATGGAAAACCACCTATTGCTTTGTATTTTATTATTGATTCCTGCCTTTGCATCATCAGACTTTTTGGTAACACATGTCAGAAACATCAAGGTAAGTAATCAACCATGTACGGGCTCCCGTTTTTCTTAGATTAACTTCCTGCCATTTATCATCATTTATCAGAGTTCCTACAGTGCTGCCACGAGGAGCTTTGTGTTCTCTGATAACTTGTGAGCACTGAGAATCAGACTAGTTTACTTCTGATCAGCCTCCGCTTTGAATCAGCTCTGAAGAAGCTCTCCTCTCTCTCTTTTTAAAGGCACTACTTTCCTGTTTTCCCTGTCATCACCACATCATGGCAAAATGTTTTAGTGGTCTTATATGTAGACCTGTAAAACAATTGGTGCTGCCAGAGAACTGACTTGGGCACCTGTAAAACAATGCAAAATGTGAAAAGTGAAAAAATGCCTCCATGAAGCAGCTCTAGCATGGCATCCAGATAAATACGTGCACTATCCATGTGACATGGGTGGATTTTTCTCAGGAGATTTGCATGTTAGCATAACATGAAGTATATCTCTGTCCCTCAAAGGGGCCATTCTGGTTTTGACCGCATCTCTGAGCAGGACAGTGCTTTCTGACCGTCTGCCTTCTTGTCTTCAGTTAAGTTGCCAGCCACTGCTACTCGCCTCAATAAATGCCTTTCCTCTCTCTCAGTAGCTACACACTACAGAAAGGGACAGGGGGCGAGTCTCTTCAGGGATCGCTGTGGGTTAGTGGGTAGAACAGGGCACAGCAATTTCTGATGATTAGTGTAGCTACACACTACGGAAAGTGGCAGGGGGCAAATCTCTTCAGGGATCGCTGTGGGTTGGGTTAGTGGGTAGAATAGGGCACAGCAATTTCTGATGATTAGGTTATAGCCTTTGCCAGGACTTTTTCACTGAAAATCAGGATGGTAACATATCTAACTTTTAAAAATCAGCTTGCGACTTATTGCTGCAAATTGGAGATGCCATGGATTCTTATTTTTTAGGCATTATGTAGCCAAGATATAATGTAGATTTGCCTCCTGGTTACCATACTACCTGTTGTTCTCTGTATGCCTTGCAATGCTGAAGCCTTTCTGAATGGAAAACGGGCACAGCTCTGTGCAATGCTCCAGCCGTACATGCGGAGCACTACAGAAAAGGCAGTTGAATCTCCCAGTTTGGCCATATACTTAAGGCAAATGTAATTTGATCGAAATGGCGGAGATTGCGATGTCGTGTGAAGGTCTCAGTCCCCATCCCTCTTAGCTCCTTTGAGCAAGGAGTATGCCAGTGAGCAGCGATGAAGCATGGCTGGAAGTCTGGCTGGCTGATGACCTTCAAGCTGTCAGAGCTGCCTTTAAAGCCAGTCAGGTAAACAAAGTTGGCAGACC